TCTGTAGAAACAGTAGAAAAAAATAATTTATATTTTGTTATATTCTAAGAAATTTTATCTCTCGATATAATTGGTCGATAAAATTATATTTTATTAAAGGTTTTAAATTATTTTATTAAAGTATGCCGTTTTTGAAGCTTATTCAGTTTTGCAATTATTACACCTGGTGGTAGACGTTCCCATTAGATGTTGGTAACAAAATTAGGAATATAATATTGGAATCGTTGCGTAACTTTTTATACCTATATCCATATTGAGCGTGAAATTTATTTTTTGTGACTGGGCTACATATACTTAGATAAAAATATATTTGGATTTAAAATCATAAAATAACTATTTCTATTATAAGATAAGTATTTAGAATTAATAAGAATACATACTAAAAAGAAATGGGCGGGATTTATAAAAAACACACATGTAATTTTTAAATTTATTTTATATTAAATAGTTGCTCTTATAACATCTACATATGCTTATTTTCCTAAAGATTACTGTATAATCTAAACAAATAAATACTAATATCTATTATTTAACACATATGTTGAAGCAGTATTAAAGTAGATTGACTTACAACTTATTTTAGAGGAAAAACTAATATCATACACTTTTATTACACATCTTTTATTTGTTGCCCATATTGTAAAGAAAAATGATTAGGTTTGTAAATAATTAAGCTGGATTTATAAACTCGAATTGGCGTTTAGTTGAGTTTAATTTCAGTTGGATGTTCGCGGCAGTTGAGGTTCAATATTTTTGCATTTATAAACCGTCAGTTTCCTGGTTGTAGGTTAGGTTTAGAATACTGTGAAAATTTCGAACGTTTTACTTTCGATTTAAAAAGTACTTTTTTGATATTTGTTAAAGTTCAAATACAGTAATCCAAAATTACGCAAAATATAAACATTACATTAACAGAAATAATGAAACAACAATAAGGGTCATTTTCCAATGCATCGGCGTCGCCTCTCTTTACCGTGCTTCACGTGATCGACAGGAGCTTATTCATTGACTGTCGTCGAACGTCGCGAACGGTCGCCAACGGCCGACATAAACATTGACCATCTTTGAACTGCTCTGATAGTGATGGGTTGTTATTTAACTATCTGTTATTTTATAACAATTATTTAGAAATAACATAACGCAACCGTTACTACTTCTAAAAAATAACAGATATAAAATAACGACACGTAGAGATCGGCCGCTCGTGAAACGAAAAACGAAGTCGGCGCTCTGCACCGCCCCGAAATTCTATGCTGCTCGAAGCAATTCCAAAAAACAACTAGTATGGATGGAAAACCTGTTATTTCGTCAACCATCGATACAGGCGGCGAGACAACGGACAACGGAGTGGGGAATGCGCTACGGCGAACGTAGCTGCTTCGGTCGATCCCGTCGACGGTCGTATTGCGCTTATAACAGCTTAAAAATAATAGGATATAAAAGAAGCAGGTTTTTTGAAACAGTTGCGGGCATAACGCCTGGCGGTCGAGATAACAGGAGTGGGAAAGGAAGGCTGCTGCATCGGTCGATTGTCGATGGAAGTTCGAAACAGGTTGGAGAATAACGCATCAGTTGTTTTAGATATATTGTTTTTCAACCTGTTACGAGCATAACGGGCGGAGGTCGAGATATTATGGCGCTGTATGTTTCAGTACGTTATTAAGTTTCAATATTTAGGTATTTATTTATTCTGAAAAATTTTCAGAATAATATTTTAAGATTTTTTAAAAATGTATACAGGGTGTTTTGAAAAATCTGGTCATTGATTAATCACGATCCTGCTTAAAGCCCTTGACGTAAAAAGCTGATTTTTGGAAAACGGATTGACTTTAGGGTGTAGAGGTTCGATAAGAAGGGATTTTTCGAAACTCGAATTCAAAGGGGGTGAAACCACCCTCAAATATTAGAATATTTTTTATTTAAAAACCGGTGAGTTTTCCGGAAAAACTCTTAAACACGTATATTTTATTTCGTTGTTTTACATATTTTAAGATTTTTTAAAAATATATACAGGGTGTTTCATAAAATGTGACCATTGAGTAATCACGATTCTGCTTAAACTGCTTGACGTTTAAAGCTGATTTTTGGCAAACGGATTGACTGTGGGGTTGAGGTTCGATAAGGAGGGGTTTCTCGAATCTTAAATTCCAAGAGGGTGAAAACGCCCCTCAAATATTACAATATTTGTTATTTAAAAAACGGTTAGTCTTTCGGGAAAACGCTTGGACACGCATAATTTATTTTGTTTTTTTACATATTTTGAAATTTTTTAAAAAATAATACAGGGTGTTCCAAAAAGTTGAGTAATTGATTAACCACGATTCTGCTTAAACTGCTCGACGTTTAAAGCTTATTTTTGGCAAATGTGAGAAAATTTTATCCAGTTTGTATGTCAATAGAAATTCTTGCTTTGCTTTATCATCACCATTACAAATTATTAATTCGACGCGAACGAAGTCGCGGGTACACGCTAGTTTAAGTGTAAAATTAATTCGAACTCTAGTGTATAGTTGGTTTACTTATGAAGAATATACTACACATTTTCTTATATTGCTATTTTTTGACCACAAATGGTAAAATTATAACTAAGAGCTTCTTGCCCGTCGAGTGAGATGCACCCTGTACACTGCTACGCAATTCAGGATCTACGCCGATCGAGGGGCAAGGCGTAGGTAGATCGGAATGTATACGTATAGACGAGTGGCGGAATTTTGGCTTTTTTATATCGCAATTTGTAAACAGCGCTTATTTGTAAACAACGACCGTTTTTAGAGAGGTATTTTAGATAACAATCGATATTTAGAAATTTTTAGACACCCTGGAAATACTACCACCGAGCATGTCATTGTAGCAACTTGCAACTGCGTTAATACGCCTGGCGGCGACCGCTTCATACTCTTTCAGATATTTAGCAATAAAATAAAGAAACCTGTTATTTTTAAGCTGTTATTTTAAGCTGTTTTTTATAAATAACTATAACAGTTTCAACTGTTATCTAAAAATAACAGTTTTGCCATCACTATGCTCTGAACGTAAAACGAACTGCCAACTTTTCGACCAACTGACTTTTATAAATGCGTTGCGTCTTCATTTCATAATGTTTAACATTGTGAACCCTCAACTGAACCTCAATCCAAATTTCAACTGCCGAGTTTTTAAATCCCGCTTTAGTTTTTTTTTTTATATTGTATGAAATCATTGCCCCCCCATCAACTCTTTTTAATTATTTACTAATCTTTTTACTACTTCTACTTTTTTATAAATTTTGTCGTATAAAAAAAAGTATTAAAGAAAAAAGAACATAACATTTTGGAATATCTTTTAGTGATTTTAGCCAGAATTACAGTTTGACATAATATTTAACTTACAAATTCGATTTTTGTCTATTTATGGAGTTGAAATTGAATACATTTCTTTATAATTAGTAAAAATAAATGACATAATTATGTAGTGTATTTATAAAAAGTATATTTGTAGTCAGATATATACACATGGCAAAAATTAAAACTTGCGTTGCTAGCAAAGCCAGACCTTGAAATATTTTGACCAAAAACCGTATTGAGTGGTCAACGTATTGCCAACAAACCAAAATCGGACCACATGATATTAGGAATTATTTGGACCACATTATTAGGAAATAGCAGGGGATAACTTGACTCGCAATAGACAACAACGAGCTCAGTTACAGGGAAAATATATAAAGGAGGTTACACCCCAATTGGAAATGGCGATGATGATGATGATAGTTTTAATCATCTGCTTTTCGATCATGCCAACATGCTTGGTCCAAATTTTCAATATCTTAAAAAAAAATAAAATACTTTTTTTAATTGCTTTGACCTATTGTGATTGATTCTTTAAATTTTTATGTTATTAACAGTAAAACCTGATAGGAGATTTTAATGTTTATTGTGTATAATGCAAAAGACATCTTTACAAATGTGATGTTTTCTATAAAATAAACGAAAGTTTCTTCTCTAGGAAAGTCGTTATTAATTTTTTAACGCGTTAATTTTAAGTATTTATGTGAAAAAATATACAAAAATATAAAACTCATTTTTGCTTTGACATTAATCATTGAATAAACTGACTAAGTAAGAAGTGAAATACTTATTTTTACATTCATACATTAAATACGGAGGATCAACGGAAGCAATCATTTTGAAACACCATTTTGTCAGTATTGTTTTTATTAGATTTTTTCTCAAGAAAAGGCATTAAATTTAGGGGTTCACGGCACAAGTGTTATTACTATTGAGAAATCATCACTGAAGTAAATCAATCAAACCAGAAAATTATTTCAGAACTAACTAGTTGTATATTTTTGCTACTAATCAAAAATAATTAAGATATGTCAATTTTTTCAATTTAACTTCAACTATAATTAACTAATTCATAACAATAATACCCTAAATTATATCCAGGGTATTATTGTTATGAATTATAGTTATTTATACAGGGTGAGTCTTAAATAAGTACAAACACAAAAAATTAGTGACGCCGAAGACGGTAAATTAATTGTTTATGTAATTAACTATGTACCTAGGTAGGTAACAAAATCCAAGCAAAACACCAAAATAGCCAATTGACAAATAATGGAAATGACACAACACAAATAAGAACAGCAATCAGCTGACGTTGATCCGACCGATCCGGCGTAATACGCATGATAAGCAGAGTCGAATTTTTGGTCCTAACAAAAATCCGAGAACCGCTAGGACCGATTCCGAACCAATAATGAACTGATTCGATGAGATCCGCGGACGCAGAACTGTTAATAAAAATTCAGAATGTATTTATCCGCGAATGCGACTAGCCCTGGACTGGTTCGGAATCGGACCTGCGCGCAAAGCTAATAATTCATCAAGAAATAAATTACATCAACTTATCTATTTTTTTATTAAATATATTTTTATTCAAATTTAATTATTATTAACGTTTATTGACGCAACATAAAACAAAACTAGCAAATTATCGAGTGTACCCTATTTTATATTTACATTTTGTTGCCAATTTTTTTTGTTGATATATTTCTTCCTTATCTTATTCATTCAATTCATTTAATAAAACAAAAAAAATAAATTTGCATAGAAAAATCTTGATGGTTTTCTTAAAGTACCCTGTATGAAATATCATTTCAAGGTCACCTGCAGCTTTAAACCCTTTCTAAACCGAATGTTACCCACAAACGTCAAAGTCTTTCACGTATCGGCCTCCGAGCTGTTCGTATCCTGCACGTCGGGCTGCGCCTCGTCTAGCAAGAGCTGCTGCTGCTGTTTGAGGACCGCAAGCCGCTGATGTGTTAATTCCAAATGGTGCTTGCGCCATTTGATGCGCCTGTTCTGAAACCACACTTTAACCTGCGAAGATGGAAACACAATTAAAACGTAGATGTATTAAATGAATGGAGAGATGAAACTTTGAGGTTTATCATCGAGTAAATGGATTTAATTTCGGTTTAAATGTTTGAACACCATTTATTAAAAAAATACTTTTTAACTTGTTTTTTTTAAAAGAAAAATAAAATAATTCGAAGAAACGAAAAATCTACAAATTATTTTTTTGCTAAGCAACGGAAAAATGTTGTCCTTTAAGTTTAAAGTTTGGTTTGGTTTGGTTTGATTTTTGTTTTATTTTTAGTATAGCCCTATTTTCATGAATTATTTAGAAAACTGTATACAGGGTCCGACAATAGTGCGTCGGGCATCTGTAGCTCCTAGATCAAAAAACTTTTTTTTTCTTTAAGTCCAAAACTAAAGTATGTACCGGGATGTATTTCAGGAAAATATTTTAACTTCTATAGGGTGATTCAAAAAAGTGTGAGTGGCTCGGGATGATTTTTTTAATGGAACACCCTGTATATTATTGCATTTTTGGCTTACTTTCTGATCACTTTGCATAATCCTAAGATATGAGTAATAATATATTTCAGAGATATTAAAAAATAAATCAAAAATATATATTTTTCAATCCTTCTTAAAAAAATTATTAAAGATACAATAACTGGAATAAAAAAATAAACCGGGAATATCTACGAAACCGTTAAACATTTTGAAATATTCCAAACACAAGAAATGTTCATTTTTTAATTATCCATCTATTAGAAAAATATTATAGAGGGTGTTCAATTTAAAGAAACGAAGAAAAATAATTTTTTATATTTTAGAAAGTTTGGCGTAGAATATTAATTTTTATTTTATAATATATATAGTTTAAATAGGCTATAACTGTCTGTATACGTCGGTTCATACTGCCATTGAGGCTGCAAATATATTGTGTTATGTTTTCCCATTCTTCTTCAAAGACCAAGCGAATATTCATAATTTGGGCCATCTTCAACAAAATCTATGACTTTTGTACAATCTTCGAAACTAAGAAGATTGAACTATATTCAATTGTACACAACAATAGTCACCAAAACCACCTCGTCATTATATTTCTTCGTAATAAAAAAGTAACGATAATTGGAAAAACTGCAAAATGTTTGTGGCAAGTTCATTATGCTCTTAAAAATTAACCAAGGCATGTGTTGACATATGTTTAGGAAAATTTGCGCACGAAATTATTGCACAGGGCGTTTTAAAGATAGGCTAAAAAAACAACTTTTTGATACTGCAGAATAAATAAATGTCATGTCAAATACTAAAGATTCATTCAGAACCTCGAAAACAGTGGAATAAATTAGTAGTTTCAATTAGGCGTAGAAGTTTGTTCACCTAATTTTAATGTATAGTCATAGTCATAGCCTAAAAATATTTCAGTGCCGAACACCAACACCAAATTTGGCACACGCTTTCTAGAGGTAATAAGGCTTCAAAAATTGCCGGGAGACAATCTCTCGCATCTCCGGATCATCCTTTGGTGACGTCATCAAAATGGCGGACCAAATTTTTAGCATGAAATTGGATTATCACTTGTAACTTTGTTAATATTTAACGGATTTTAAGTTTTAATAGCTCATTTTAAAGCTTGAATAATTTGCTAAAAAAACTATATCAATTTTTTTGTAGGTGGGGTAGTTATACGCATCCCTTAAAATTGGAATAAATAAATAAAAAATTACGGTTTTATTCTAAACAAATTGAAACGTTAAAACAACAAAACAAAAAAATTGTTTATTACGTATACTACCCTTAATTTTAACTATTTTTTGACCACCCCTCCCATCTACACATACCTCCCCCCCCTTACCATATCTCTGAAATGTTACATATTTGTTTTCATAAGCAAAATAATAAAACTTTTTTTTTGAAGAAACAAAATGTACATAAAATAAATATTTTTTAAATATTTCTTTTTTCTACCCTCCCCTTACTTAAGTCTTCTCTGTTTTTGTTCCTGTCCACCCCTCAAACCTATATACACCTAAAAATGTATCATAATGTATAATGTATGCCCATTTAAAGTATTTTCCTAAAAATTTCTTCGGAAGATACATTTCTCAAGCTAAAAATAACTTTTGCGAAAACATATTTCTTAAACAATAAAAATAAATCTAAGATAAATATTAAAGTAATACCTTAGCACTAATTTTATTACTAAAAAATAGTAACTATATGTACAATATTCCCAAACAAAAGAAAACTTCGCGGGTACATGATATTTACAGAGCATTGTCCAGCCCTCAAAGTTCCTCTGAATCCTCCTAAAAAATGAATAAAAATGTTCCTAAAAATAACTTGAGAGGATACATTTTTAAACTAAAAATAACTTAGCAATAACTTAACTTCATATTAATTATAATTAAAATTAGTAACTAATAATAATATGTACAATATTCCCAAACAAAAGAAAACTTTGCGGATACATGGCCTTCGCGTTTACAGAGCACTGTATTGTCCAGCCCTGAAAGTTCTTCTGAATTCTCCTAAAAAATAACCAAGAAAATAACCAAAAGTGTTTGGTTAAATAAAGTCCTAAAAATAACCTGGAAGGATACATTTTTAAACTAAAAATAACTTAAAATTAACTTAACTTCGTTATCACTTATAATTAAAAATAGTAACTAATAATAATATGTACAATATTCCCAAATAAAAGAAAACTATTCGCGGGTACATTGACCTTCGCACCTGCAGAGCATTGTGCACCTTAAGGTACTTTTTACACAACGACATTTTGAAGTACATCTTTGAGTGCATTTATAAGCATGCGATAAGCTCTTGTAATTTTCCATTGAAATATCGGAACTTGTAGACCAAAGAAGTTGATCCCCAACTTTCTTCCACCCCCATTCGCCTGGATTTGGCTGCTCTGCATCTCGTTGAAGGCAATTTCTCCACACGAAACACTGCAGAATTGCTCTTTTATTATGATTTAGCAAAACTTCACACGTTGGCGGAATATGTTCGATGGAACGGTTATGTTGGTAAAAAAGGATTCGCCTTGCTTCATTTACAGTTTCCGCAGTGCTAGTTGAATGATACATAAGTACCACAAATCTTTGAAGAAGTCCCTGTTTTTAAGCTTTCCGGGATATACTGATCAAAAACAATATCGACCCTATCTACCGTTGCAAGTACCGAACCATCTCCCTTCTAAAGAGAAAAAATAAAACAAAAAGATAAAACATAAAGCTTATTTTAGTCTTATCAACACTCTTCGATAAAATATATGTCTAAAATTGCTATTAATCCACTAACTTGATATTTTTAAGAAATTATATGATACAAACATTACAATCAAAGTATATTATATTAGTAACATTATAGGTAAAATATGTTACCTCTATCTCCCATTGACGTGTATTGTTCTATAAGACTCGTCATGGTAATATTCAAAAACATCGATATACATATAATGAAAACTATTGTTGCCTGTAAATAACTAGAAATTAAATAACTTGAAAGAAATAAAATAATTCTAATAAGTTTAAAACCATTAAGAAAAAATCTGTAAATGATAATTTTTAATTCTAATGTAAATATATAAATAAATGTTATTATTATTCAAAAAAAAAAAAAAGTCTTGACCGAATATAAGATTGAACAATGTTTTCGCTGTACTGCTGGAATGTTCGGCTTTATTGAGGTATCAACATATGAACAAGGGTAGCTCCATCAATAATTAGTGTAGATACTTTAGGTACCACAACAAATTGGTCGGTAATTTTTGTTGTCTGAATAATGCATAATGCATGAAACAATGTCAGATTTCATTGAGCGTTTTCGCAATTTTTCGAATTGCGATATAAATGGTGGATACGAACTGTTCTCCTTGGCAAAAAATTAATTAATGTCCAAGTGTCTAACTTGACTAGCAATATAAAGTCTAGTGAAAATATTACTGTCCTTTCGAAGATCGATGATTTTTTGTTTATCTTTTGACTTAAATTGGATTTTTTTTGACTGAGTAAAGGTAGGTTATTTCTTTTAATGTATTGAAATTTTTCTCACCAAAATCCGTTCGTTAACAAAAATAAATATTTAAAAAATATTTATTTTATGTACATTTTGTTTCTTCAAAAAAAAAGTTTTATTATTTTGCTTATGAAAACAAATTTGTAACATTTCAGAGAAAAGGCAAGGAGGGGCATGTGTCGATGTAAGAGGGGGGCAAAAAATAGTTAAAATTAAGAGTAGTATAATACGTAATAAACAATTTTTTTGTTTTGTTGTTTTAGCGTTTGGTTTGGAAATTTGTTTAGAATAAAACAGTCATTTTTCATTTATTTATTCCAATTTTAAGGGATGCGTGAAAACTACTCCTCCTACAAAAAAACTGAATACAGTTTTTTTGGTAAGGGGGGGGAGGTATGTGTAGATGGGAGGGGTGGTCAAAAAATAGTTAAAATTAAGGGTAGTATACGTAATAAACAATTTTTTTGTTTTGTTGTTTTAACGTTTCAATTTGTTTAGAATAAAACCGTAATTTTTTATTTATTTATTCCAATTTTAAGGGATGCGTATAACTACCCCACCTACAAAAAAATTGATATAGTTTTTTTTAGCAAATTATTCAAGCTTTAAAATGAGCTATTATAACTAAAAATCCGTTAAATATTAACAAAGTTATAAGTGATAATCCAATTTCATTCTGAAAAAGTTTTCCGCCATTTTGATGACGTCATCAAAGAATGATCCGGACATGCCAGAGATTGTCTCCCGGCAATTTTTGAAGCCCTGTTATGTGTGGAAACTGTGTGCCAAATTTGGTGCTGGTGTCCAGCACTGAAATATTTTGGTGCTTTTTAAAGTCAACGCCACTGACTAGTCAGCATTCGGAACGTCATAATTAGTGGTAGTAATTTTCAATTATTGGAAAATGTTAACAAATTTTTAACTTTTCCACTAATTATACTTCAAAATTTGCGAGGTATGTCATTTTGGCCTTTGATTATCACCCGTCAAGAAAAATTTTGGTTAGAAATCAAAAGTTTATTGTTTTATAAGCTAAATATTATGCTTTCTCTATGGATAAAACAGACTACAGCAAACTGTTGCTAGGATATTTTATTAATTTTAATTGTGTTTTTGGACGTTGTGAATGATCGTAAACTAAAAAGTATAAAGTGTAATTGAAACCATTAATTTATTCCACTAATTGGAAACCACTAATTTATTCCACAATTAGTGGAATAAATTAGTGGTTTCAATTACACTTTATATTTTTTAATTTTTAACAAACTTCTACACTAATTGAAACCACTAATTTATTCCACTAATTGCGAGGTTCTGAATAAAGCTTGAAGGTTATAATAAACTAAAGCTTCATTCAGAACCTCGCAATCAGTGGAATAAATTAGTCGTTTTAATTACACTTTATACTTTTAAGTTTACGATCATTCGCAATGTCTAAAAACATAATTAAAATTATTAGAATATCCTAGCAACAGCTTGCGGTAATCAGTGGTATCCATAGAGAAAGCCTAAAATTTAGCTTATAAAACAACAAACTTTTGATTTCTAACCACATTTTCTCTTGATAGATGATAATCAAAATCCGAAATGACATTCCTTGCACATTTTGAAGTATAATTAGTAGAAAAAGTAAAAGTTTGTAAACTTTTTCCACGAATTGTAAATTCCTACCACTAATTTTGACGTTCTGAATGCTTACATTGAAATTAAAGGAACAAACTTCTACGCTAATTGAAACCACTAATTTATTCCACTAATTGCGAGGTTCTGAATAAAGCTTAATTGAAACCACTAAATTCGAGGTTCTGAATAAAAAGCTTAAAATGTCTGTATATGAAATATCTTATTTTTTACTAAGATTTCTGATATGTTGTATATGTTGTACTTTAAAAAAATGTAGTTCTATTAACACAAAATATTCCATATTTATTCGCATGGGTTAGAATAGAAATGTATTCCTTTATTTTGAAGGGCTTGAGATCGAATATCTAAATAAATAATTCTATGGAATAACTGTTTTATGAGCTCAAGCTCAATATAACGATTGTTACATAGATATATTTTATAAAAAATAATGCTATGTAATAATCAATTTCAATAACTCATTTAAAATAGAAAGCGAAAAGTTGTACTTACTTGGGCTTCTGTCAGTTGTAGTGTGTGCGCTAAATAAAGTCGCTCAGGCCCAACCATGTATTGTTGCTTCTCAAACTCCGCTTCCAAACGTTCTAGTTGTTCTGGAGTGAAAATTGTTCTTACTCTTTTGCCTTTGCATGTTTTCTTGTTTTGTAGAATATTAGAAGATATGTGTTTTCCACTGCGAACTAGAACAGAATATTCTTATGTAGTTGTGATGAAAATGTTTTAAGATCAATCATGCTTTGTATGAGAGATAAACAATTCCTTTCACAAAGTGTATTAGATTTTTTTGCTGCAAACCAAACCAAACATACGTAGTAAGATCCTTGAGCAAGATTAGACTGGGCCAAATACAAAGTATTTTTCTATAACCCCAGACGGTGCAAGTATACTTGTGCGATATCATACGCGAAATGATTTTGAGAAAGGACTTTGTATTTGCGGGATGCGGTCAACGATGACATCCATTTTGCCGTGTCAATAGGTGATCCGTGTCAATAGGTCATCCGCCTTGTCAATAGGTGGCTTAATATTTGCTACAAAAATTGTGTGTGCACTATGTGCGCATATTCGCATAGTCAGAGGTAAGTTTAACACAACAGTAAGGGGAGCGAATGCAAAGGGCCCTGAAGATAGGGCCTAAAAGGGACTAAATATTAGTCCTACAAAGACTGTAATAATCCCCTTCACCAAAAAGAAGAATTTTGAGGACCAGGACTTCTAAGGGTAAAACATAGTAGAGCGACGAAGAGGCACAGCGACGAGGTAAGCGTCGCGACTTGAATTTGATCGTGTATTGTAATGGAGGCAAACATAGTAAAGAGATTGCCAAAGCGTCAAGCGACGAGACAAGCGAGGAGATGCGCGTCGAGATAAAAATGATTCCTTGTCGCGTTGACGCTGGAATGCGTGTGGTCTTTTTCGGTTGACTGGTATCATTAAGTAGGAGTACTACTGGTATATAGACAACATTTATCATTTGCAATGGCTGAGAATAATATAATAACATATGTAACAGGCGTGCGTTATGGAATGCATCTCATCCAGACCACAGAAACTGCTATGCATTAGACGAACTTTGGGCAGAAGTGGCTATTATCGAATAAAATCTAATCTTCACTGTCGGAGAACATTGTACATACTGGTTTGAATTTGGAAAGTCGAGCAATAAATCTCAACTTTTGTCTCCTTATTATGTACGTGTCTCCTGTCGCGTCGCTTATCTTGTCTCTTACCTCGTCGCTGTGCCTCTAGCCTCGTCGCTCCACTATGTTTTACCCTAAGACTCTGCGGTGATGAAATTCCTCTCTCTGGGGAGGTCAAGTATCTAGGAATCATGCTGGGATACCAAACTGACCTGGAACCGACACTTGGAAAATGTCACAAGGAAAGCGGTGACTACACTAGCGGTAGTCAGACGACTTCATGGAAAAATCTGGGGTCTCAGACCACAGATGGTGCACTGGCTGTACACTGGAGTAGTGAGGCCTTCAGTAATATATGCATCCTTGGTATGGCCTAAGGTAATGCAAAAAACAATAATGCTCAACCTTAGTAAGGTGCAAATACTTGCTTGTCTGAGCATAACAGGGACGATGAAATCAACGCCCACTGCATCAATGGAGGCGCTTCTGAACCTTTCGCCTCTTCACATAGTGATCAACGCGGAGGCAAGAATGGGACTCTATCGACAACAAAGTGTCTTGTCTCTGGGACAGAAACAGGACACTTAAAGATGGGAGATTCATTACTCCAAATGAGATCGGACCAAATGACTCCTCTTTATCACTATACAAACCATTCGAGGAGAACAAAATGGATCGAGGAATGTGGACAGATATAACATTCCTTCAGGATGGACTAACCCGGTATACAGACGGGCCAAAGACCGCTGAAGGAACAGGAGCTGTAGTATTTGGGGAAACACCAAGGGCAAGCTTATCCTTTTCCTTGGGTAAATACTCAACCGTATTCCAGACAGAAATATTCGCCATTCTACAATGTGCGAGAGAAAACAATAGAAGAGCTTATTTAGGTAAGCTCATCAATATATGCTCAGACAGTCAAGCGGCACTTGGGGCGCTTATGAGCCCAAAGGTATCGTAAGCCCAAAAGAACTGCAAAAAATCTGCTAATGCTTAGCAGGAATAAAGTGCGGATTACAAAAGGCCTCTTGACATGACACATGGCTGTCAAGTGTTACCTGAACAAGCTCAACCTGTATCAAGGAAGTCTTTCCTGCAGACTCTGCGATAAAGATCCTGAAACAGCGGAGCACATAATATGTCATTGCGAGGCTCTGGATCGCAAGCGATACTTTTTGTTTGGGATAGCTAGGCTAGAACCGGAGGAACTATGTACCCATCCTATCAAGGACCTGCATAAGCTAGTGCACGGCACAGGAATAGAAGGATGGGTGCAGATATAGAAAGGGGACAAACACAATAAACCTCACAGGTCGCAGTGTTTCCGGCAAAGGACGGCCCCTTGTTATGGAAAAAATATGTGCGCATATTTGTTTCTCTGTCTTACTAACGGCAGAGCTATTAAATTAAAGGATTTTAAGGACATGTTAGAAAAAGTGTAGATAGTTTAAAATGTTGAAAAAGTAATAAACTAAAAATTAATAAATAATTTGGTGTGCTTTCACAAAATTTGTATTAAAATGTCCGTTTGTCCATAGACCCCATTCGGTTACCTCTATCCACGTGCCGAATTTGGTTCCAATCGACCCATAATTTAAAAAAATCCTTATGATTTCTTCCATTATACGCATCGGTTTGAAACGTCCGTCGAGGGCGTCATCCTGTAGCCCGTCGCCAATTATGCCGAAATTGATCCTCATTTTTCTTCAATATCAAATCTTTAGTCCCACTCTGATGAAGATGTAAACGAAATGTCGTATCGAACTTTGCAGGGTGGGACCGTGAACACCGTTACTCACATAGCGTACCCACCAAATTTCATACGGTGGGTAACCCATAGATAAATGGGGTAACCTACATAACAGACCATAGGGTACTTTTCAATATTAAACTCCATTGAAAAGAAGAATCAAGCGTAAAAGCAGATAATAGATACATTAAAAACATCATACATTAAAAATGAGTAAAAGATACATTTAATAATTAAGGTATTGAAATTTAGAAAACGTCAACATTTGAGATTTCCAATATTTTACCCAACCGTTTCGTATTAATTTAACCGATGCTTTTCAGGAACCGCACTTTACCGTAGTTTACCGGTCTGGTTCACCTGGTTTTGCAACGGAATGTTATAAGCCTCATTGTTTTCCACAGACACTTCTGCCAAAATCTAAATATGACAAAAACTTTTTACTCATCTGCCATTTACTTATGTCAGAACTGTCACCAGAGCTGTCACTGCCCATATTTTAGACGATATAAAAATGACTGATAGAGTACTGTATAAGAATGGAGTTTGGGTATGGGACCAATACAACGATGGAGTTATGTTCACAGGGTTAGTATTCACATTTCTATTATATTTTTCTTTGGTATTTTTACAAATTAGTAGGTAGAAGATGGGTAGAAGATAGTAGGTAGAAGAATAAAGTATACTCTGTTTTTTTTCTCAGGTAAGATTTCGACAGACGATGACAGAAGAAAAGCAGATGACGTCCCATACCAATCTATTTATTTTACTAAAAAAAGTTTCTAATAATTTTTAAGTTATCTATGGATGGGTTTAAATATAAATCCGTCATGC